AAAAAGAAGAAGAAGAAGAAGAAGAAGAAGAAGAAGAAGAAGAAGAAGAAGAAGAAGAAGAAGAAGAAGAAGAAGAAGAAGAAGACGAAGAAGAAGAAAAAAAGAAGAAGAAAAGAAAGAAAGCTCAGATGGGAGGATTGCAAGATCAAAGCTGGGTTGAACAACTTAGCAAGACCCCGTCTCAAAATTTAAAATTTTTAAAAAGGGCTAAGGATGTAGCTCAGTGGTAGAGTACTCAATCGCCAGTACCACACCTTAAAACCTCTGAAAGTGAAAAGTGAGCAGTCTATCTAAACAGAATCCTGGCAATAAGAAGAGAAAGACAGTGGCAGGCAAAAGGATAATGCTTCTCACAGACATTCTGAAGGAACACAGAGAGGTTGAGGGGGTGCTCTTGTGGAATGCAAAGGGAAGAAAGGACAGATAAGGGTGGTGCCTCAAGAGAAAGTGTCCACGGCAGAGAGGCACCCACAGAGCAACTCTGTTTCAAGGAGCAGCTCAGCGAAAGTGGGAGATAGGCCTTGGAGAAGAACGCTATTCCAGAACTGACCAACCTAAAAAGCCTGTGAGAAGTGCTCCCTGAAACTTTGGGTCTGGCTACCAAGTTCTCTAAGGAGTCTCAAAATGTAGCAAAGCTTGGGTTTCTGTCCCAGGAAAAAGAGGACTAGCCAGAGAAGCAGCACTGGGAAAGCACAGCAGGTAGTGAAGAGTAAAGAGGAGATGGAGGCTCAGTCATTGGCCTCAGAGGACCACAGGAAAGAAGACCAAGTAGAGCGGTAGCCTCATGCAGGTATGGGCCTGTAGGGCAACCCAGAAGGCCATCTGAGCCCATGCTGTTGGAGCTAGAAGTGCTGAGCCTCGTGCTTGTGCAGCTCCTCAAAGAGTACACAGCGACAAGTTTTGGAGCACCTACTATGTGTTAGACAATGGATTAAAAACCCTACAGGCATAAGCCCTCTTGATCCACATGTACTTGAATAAGCTCCCTCAGTTCAACACACACACACACACACACACACACACACACACACACACGGTGGTTAAGTCATTTGCCTAAGGTCACATAGCTAGTAAGTGGCAGAGCTAGGGTTTGACTGTCTCAGGCCATGCTCATAATTGCTCTCCTACACCTTAAGAAGACAGATACTTCTACTTCCATTTCTCCTATCCAGCGGGAAGACTGGTGGGCAGGAGAGGTGCTGAGAATGTATTTCTGGAACGAAAGAGCACTGAGTCACCTATTCAGGGTATCCAGCCCCGCTTTTTCACTCCCCAGACAGCATGAGGAGCTTTCCTGTTCTCCTCCAGCCCCTTCTGCTTATGTCTTGCCTTCCCATTGTATTGCCGATATCTGTTTCCACATCTGTCTCATCCATTAGGCCAATGAGAGTTTCTCATCCTTGAATCTATATTAGAATCTCTTTTGAACAATAACAATGGCTAGGTACTACTAAAGACCATTTAATCAGAATCTCTAAGGCTGGGACTCTGGCATTAGTATTTTTCAAGCTCTTCCAACTCAGATATGCCACCAGGTCTGAGATGTACTGTGCAGACAGTGAGCACTTCAAGGTCAAAGTCCAGGTCATGAGTCTTTGAATCCCCAGGGCCCAGCAGAGAGGCTGATTCCAAATAAGTGCTTGACACAAGTTTAATGAGAGGATGAATGCAGATAGCAGGAGATAAAGATCAAAAATACAAAAGAAAAAGGGAAATCAGGGAAGCATTATGCAGACAAAGAAAAAAGGAATGATTTGAGAGTCAGAGGCAGAAGAGAATGTTTAAGATGCCAAGGGGCAAAAGAAGAATGTGGATGAGGCTGCATGATCATGAGGCTTCCTTGCATAACAAATCTCTAGTTAAAAGTAATAAGGCAGCTTCAGTGCTGAATAAACAGCACATGCAGCAGGGAGGAATGAGGGGAAGAGAAGTCAAAAACGTGAGTCTGGCTAAGGCTGTAGCCATGGGCTTTGGGCCCAGGACACACGGCTCTGGTTGGAGATGAAAAGGGTAAGCGCCAAAAGAGGAAGAGAAATAACAGAGCCGTAATCCTGAGAATAACGAAAGCAGGAGAAAGAATACAGCCAAGATGATAGAATTCATAATGGAAAAATAAAATGGAAAAACAGAAGAAAGCAAGCCTGTGATTAAGAGGTGGCATGGATTTGTAAGCCATCCATATGCATGTTTATTTGGAATGCCATTGTTTTAGCAGCGAGAGGGATTATAGGTAAATAAAATATGCAAATGCATTTCACAATAAAAAAAAAATCCTGTGATGAACAGCTGAGATAATCATTGTGAAAATTCTCTGAAAAAGACAACATGCTGCAGAAATACAAGGTGGCATGACTATCATTCTAAGGTGAGATCATCCAGCAGAGGTAGCTCTGTGATCTGGAATTTGGCACACTGAGCATTAATCGCAAAGGTCTAAAGTCTCTGGAGTTCAGTTTCAAATAGCTGTCAAAAGATTGGCTCCCCAAAGCTGGGTCTTGGAGGAGAGCAGGATATAAGCAGTGAGAATAAGCAGCTAGGTACCCTGGGGGACAGGTGAAGTTGGAAGAATTAGATTTGAGTTTCTGACTCTGTATTATACTGGTACTGTGCATACAGTATTTCATTCAACCGTCAAAATAACTCTAGAGGGGGCCTGGCCCTAGCTCAGGCCTTTAAGTGGCTGCTTCCACACAGCTGTCAGCCTCAGGTTGCTGGAGTTTGAACCTCACAACTCTCCCGCTGGCCAAAAGTGCCCTGAAGGCATTCGAGGAACAAAAAATAAATAAATAAAAATAACTCCAGAGCCTTGAATTGGTCCAAGACTATGTTCACTGTTGGAGTTCCTTATGGCTCTCTTTTCATTCCATAATCTTGTCCTAGTCCTAGCATTACATCCATGACCATAACATTAATAATAATGTGACATTAATAAGAACGGACCAGACAGAGGCTTTAACCCAGTCTTTCCGAGATTTA